GATCTGATCGATATGGACATAAACGCGAGTGAAGTGTAACCGGATGCGAGAGAGAGATCAGATCAGCTGCTGAGTCTGACGGAGACATGCAGCTCTGCATGGTCACCTGATGCTCCGCCCTCTGTTTAGCGAGCTGACCGGACAGCGCAAAATGCGTATATGAAGTGTCATGAACGCAAGAAATCATACCCTCGTGGGGGCGCGCTCATGTGATTGGCTTAGACTGGAGGAGACATCTGATTGGCTATAGATGAGAGAAATTACAAGTACGAATCGGGTGAGCGTCAGGGGAGTCTCGAAAAACCCACCCACACACGAATGCACAGCGATCCGTGCACAGAAAGCGGTTTGTGTTTGCAGGTTCAGGGGATTTAAACGGAAAACAAATGTGTGGATCAAAAATACATATGTAAAACTTTTTTCTGTGTTTGGATTTTATTTACATGTGAAACGGAACACATTTGTGTGTGCATTGAAAAACACAAGTGTGGATCCGGAAATACAAGTGTGAATCCTTTTGCGGATCATGAAATACAAGTGTGAATCCTTCTGTGTGCATGTGTGTATTATGAGACTGTTCTGAGCCCATACATCTGTGCATAAATATTTCAGTAACAAGTGCTGTGTCTCTATTTGCGTACTTCCGTACTTACATGTGTTATTTTGATGTGCCCAAAAGTGCTGAGATAGAGCGCTCATAAATGTCAAAAAGTAAAGTGTGGAACACTGGACATTAAATGGATCGCCATCTTGGCTAACCAGCTGTGGCAGCGGTTAGCATTACAAATACATGTTTTTTTTTTCCCTATTTAAAAACCTTGCCACAATACTGGTGTTGAGAAGATGCCACTGTATTGCTTTAATTGAGAAGTCTGCAATGTATCCTACCGCTAACAATAACGTTGCTAACTAGCTAGCCAACAGTAGCGATCAGCACTTATTTTAAGGGCACAGCAGCCATGTGTGACCACATGGTAGAAATTGTACACAGCGCAAGTGTTCACAGTGCACGATATTCAGTCTACTAAGGGAATTGAGCACTTTTCTTCTGTTTCTTTCTCATCTCAGGTAGTTTGGCAGTGGAGTATACCTGGGATACACGATGCAGAAGCCGTGATGCGGAAGGAGCCTTCCTGATATGTGGGACCCTCTATGTGGTCTACAACACACGCTATGGAGGTCGCTCCACCATACAGTGTCTCTATGACATTCATGACATCATCCACAGGTTGGATTACACACAGACACAATATGACTTAGACAAAAATATATTTAAGCAAATGTATACACTGTAAACAGAAACAGGGAAAATATATATAAATCACACTGTTCACACAAGCACACTTTCATTCACATAAATATATATTTTTAAACTGGAGCAATGTTCATATTCTGCATTTTCCCTTTTCTGCAGTGATGAGAGCCCTGTCATGTTCTTCCCAAAGCGCTACACCAGCCACAGCAGCATCCACTACCACCCTGGAGACAAACAGCTGTATGCCTGGGACGACGGCTACCAGACAATATACAAAGTGGAGACGCGCAGAAATGAACAAGTCACTTAAGAATGAAGATGATCAACATCTTTCAAAAACATGTGTTATCACTAACCAGATGTAGGAAAAAAGACGATTGAATAGTAGCTTATATCTACTTTTTTATAGTTATCTTTAGCTGGCAATAGAAGCTAACTTTATCAATAGTAATTGTTAAAGACTGTGTCCAACAAAAGGCATTTTTTACATAGGCTTTATATTTTGTATTACCACAATAAAGAACATTGAAGTTTTTTGTGTATTTTATTTGCCATCGAATAAATATAAAAATATATTCACAGTCAAATATATGCTGGACAAGATTTAGCATAAAAGTATTATGCAGTTCATTTAAGCTGTTGTTTCAACTTGAGTTTTCTTCCTTTTGATCTGATGCGTCAAAACCAGTATACATACTGGAAATTAAATCCATCAGTCTGTATGTGTCATTTGGATCAAGGTCTGACCAGACAAATTCATAATTAGACCTCCACACAACTGGAATATAAAAAGCAGACAACAAGCAATGTTGTGACAAAATAGAAGCAATAGAAACAAAAGAGATATAATATTATAAACACATTGTGAATCTTAAGCTTACTTCTTAACTTAGAGCTATTATGTTGTACATTTCCTTTCAAAAGTGAATTTTAATAGCCTTAGGTAAAGAAGCCTGTTACCGCATATACATGCCATAAGATTTAAATTATATAAGAGATGTGTGGTAGCTAGGAAGACCTAACAGCAGATTTTTACACTGCTGATGAATATAGTCTATTATGAATAGCTATATTGCTTCTTATACACTTTAGTAGGCTATTGTAAAGAGAGCCGTAATGATGATGAGTATGGACGTCATCATTGATGAAGCAAGCTTTGATAAATAGGGGTTTACTGCAAAGTAGTGATGGGACAGTATGACAATACAGGAACAGACACATTCCTAAATAACCTATGTTTAAAACAGATACAGTATCTGGAGACAGGGCTGCCACTGGCCAACTTGTGGCCCCACCCCCACGCAAAGTTATCTGATGAGGCCCCCTGTAGTGTCGCGATAAAGTTTATGGATACAATACTATATGATAAACTAGCCTATGAACCAGTGGCGGTTCTAGACCAATTTGACTGGGGGGGCCACTGGGGGGCCAGTTATTTTCTGAGGGGGCACAATAAATGCAGGACGAAAAAGAGAACTAGACAGTATGAAGTAATTGCGCATAAGAAAACAATGCAATACAGTTATTGGTATTTGTTTCAGTACATTCATTTATTTCAGATATATCTTAGTTATTACTGTTATCTTCAGCTTCAGTTATACTTAAGTATAATTTTTGCACTAACACCATATCCTATTTATATAAAAATAAAGGCAATGAACAGTTACATCTCTACTTTACATCTACAATTACACGGATACAATAGTTTAACTCACCTTCAATTATCGTGGTAGTCTCTCGAAACGTAGGTTTCAATCAGTCTTTCTTGGATGCAACAGCCTCTGATGATCCGAGATGAAAAGTGTTTGTTTTTCGCGCGCTTCAGCCGGACAGTGAAAGTGAGTGCACTGCTCTAATGGGTCCTGAGTGCACCGCTCTAATGGGTCCGACTAGAATGACGAATAACGTTAGTTATTCAATAAATCGTGTAATAAA